GCCTCCATCACACTACCAAACAAGCCCAACCCACCTGGAAACATCCGCAGAGAGCAAGGCAAGGGCCAGTTCTTGCCTAAAGGCTCCCACAAATATTCTTCTCTGCCGGCTGGCCTGGCCATTAACACCAATGAGAACACAGGACTTGCTCAGGAATGTGCGACTCTCCCCCTGCATTTTAATCAGGAGCAGGGCCGGCCAGGCCCCAGGGTGCATGTCGGGGAGGGAAGGAAGGATTTGCTCTTGTACTGAAAGGTTGAAAAAAAAAAATGCCATGCTGTCTCTAAAAAGCCACTGAGATGGGAAAGTCCTGCCCGTTCAGTTTTGCCAACAGTGGCCTGCTCGACTCCTGTGCGCAACATCTCAATCAGCTGAACACGTGAGCTTTAATTAACAATAACCCACCAAAGCCCACTCCAGGGTTATTGTGGGAAAACCTTCGCAGGGTACGTTTGTCAAAACAGAGTCCTTGCGGTAGGGAAAATAATCATCATCCAATGTGGATAATTCAGTTAATCTTTTTTTTCTGGATTTCTTGGACTTGACTTTTCATACCTGGTCTTAAATGGTGACACTGACCCCCGCTTGGCTCCTTATTCCGGATTTCTCCATTGCGAAATCTTACTCTGTTGGCATGGGGCTCTTGCCTTCTAATTTCTTATTCCTGCCTAATCCCCTCTCTCCCCCCAAAATAATGAATGATGGGATTAAAGACATTTATAACTGAATCAAATGCAGACAAAAATAATGAACCAAGTGAAAGGAAAGTTAAGGTTTCATAAAAATAATAATCAGATCAACTTGCCTCTAACATATATATGTAGATATTCATTTATTTGCTTTCATCAACTAGTTTGCCAATAAAACAATTTTGTTTGTAAAACACTTCAGGCTTATTTGCTTTCTTTAATGCTTTTACATTTTGGAAATATTGTTTGTTATAGTATTGCCTACCCAAATAAGTCAAAAATGCCATACTTTGCAACATAGCTTCTGTAGTAAATAGAAACCGATAATAAAAGGCTAAGGATTTAGCTCAGTGGTGCCGCTGCCTACCTCCCAAGCACAAAGTCCTGAGTTTGATCACCAGTACCAAAAAAAAAAAAGAAAGAAAGAAACCAATAATAAAGAGAATGAGCTACATCTTAGAAATTGTATGTAGTATACATTAAGCTTCATGTAATTTTTTTTCAAAATTTAAGACAACTTTTTGCATAAATGCTATAAAGTCAATCTCCCCAAGTGCAGGATTTTTGGACAGCACTATCCATTATCCAGAAGCTAAAGTCCCAGAGGTTCCAGGGGAGACTTGCAGCAGGCAAGCCCTGTGGATGGGGACGGTGGCTGGAGAGGGCCATCTCTGAGCCACCCGACCTGCACACAGCTAGCACATTGTCAGATTGTCTGGAACAAGCAGGGCTTTGACAAGAACCGTAATATTGTTTCCCCCTTGGTGAAGGATGCAGACTGATGCTCTCAACAGCCCTCCACACCTGACTTTGTCCTTCCTAACACTTCCTCCCCATCAAGCTCCCCTTTCGGGATCAAGAAAATGCATTCAACAAGTGAGCCAGCCCAAGCCTGCTGGCAAGACAGAGGGACACTGTCATTTTGACTTCTCAAAGCAAACTTGCTCCGTGGAGGGGGGAAAAGTCATTTTTGTTTGACATGCTGTAGAGAAGCTGGCCATCGGGGCTGTGGCAATTCTCGCTTACCCTGTTAGCTCCCAGGGTGACCTCAAATCTGGTGGGACCCCTTCATCATCACATATCTCTGCAAAGCAGGTTTCCTCCTCCACTCACCTTCCCCGGCTCACCAAACCAAATGCCGGAGCTGCCAGCAAATAAAAGTTTTCACGCTGGGAGACATAACCACCCCGCTGAGCCACGTGTAAACTTTCCCGTGCCCTTTTGATTTACTTACTTTTTCTCTGCATAAACAAATAAAAATAAAAGGGAACCTACTGTTTCCAAATGAGTTTATGTAACCATCCTGCCTAGCCATTCTGAGACCCTCTGACCTTCCCGTGACAGTTGGAGAAAAGCAACATTTTTCTCCTGGCCATGCAGGGATGTTTTAGTGTGTAGAAAACCAGGATGAAAGAGCAGGCATGAGGAGATATTTTCATGAGGGAGAGAGGGAGGGAAGAGAGAGAGAGAGAGAGAGAGAGAGAGAGAGAGAGAGAGAGAGAGAGAGGTGCAGGGAGAAGGACAGGAGGCACAGGGAAGTCTGGGTGGAGAGGAGGGCAAGGTGTTGGGTGACTCACATGCCTGGGCTGGCTGGAGAATGGGCAGCCGTGGAGCGGTCACTCAGGTGTTTCCAGTGGCTGAGGACTTGTCGCTCAGCTCCTCCGGCACCAGCTGACAGTCCCCTGTCTGTGTCTCTTTGTGACTAAGGACACAGTACTCCCAACCTATAAATAGATCCCGACTCCGTGATTGATATAACAGGCAGCTGACAAAAAAAAAAAAAAAAAAAAAAAAAAAAAAAAAAAAAAAAAGAATCCCGCACAACCATAACCAGGTCTTAAACAAAACAGCGGAAAGCTGTGGACTTTCAACCCCACCAAGCCCAAGGCGGACTCCACAGCCACCGACGGGCACAGGGAAGTGGGGAGTGACACAGACCATGGGGGTGGCGGGGCAGGGCCAGAACAAGGGGGAGTGTGAAAGACAATGACTCCTACATGGCGAAGCTTCACCGGGTCACAGGAGAGCTGGCGAGTGAAGGCCTGCGGGGAGCGGAGCGAGGGGAGGAGCCCGGTGCGAGGTCCTGACCCCGGCAAGGAGAGCGCCCCTCCCCCATCCGGGGACTGGGGCCGCCAGGACCTAAGTCAAAGTCCTGACTTAGGAGCATTCGTCAGCTCAGGAGTTTTCCACGAAAGTTTCCATTCCTCCTGCCAAACCAGGAGGCAGGGAGGGAGCAGAGTTTTCCTGGCTTGGGGGCCAGGCAGAGGCTCCTGGAGAGTGGGGGTAAGGTGCAGGTGAGGGCCCTGGCAAAGGGTGCAGCAGGCCACGCCGGTGAGGCAGGGCCTCCAGAAAGGCCCAGTGGCCTTCTCGGCAAAAGAACTGCTTGTGATTGAAAGGCCTTGGAGTTTTGGTGTCTCTCTTTTTTTCTGGAAAGATTTCCTGGGAGACTAAATTCTCTAAAAAGGTTTCTTCTTTTGGAAAATGAGCTCCACTTCTTGGGATACTGACTGGTCTCTTAAGAAACATGAGCCGCTCCAGTTTCTGTACAGTTGGGGTAGCCTTCTCCGGTCAGGCCAACCCAGGTCTGGGACCTGAACCAGGGGCCAAAGTTTCCAGAAGATGGGAGAGCTGTGGAGAAAGGACAGCAGCTCGGCTGCCCAACAATGAGCCAGGTGAGCACTGGTCATGTCTGGAGACCCTTGTGTGATCACATGGCCATCTGCCTTGACTTTCTTGGTTACTTGTGCATTCTTACTCAGGTGGAATTGGCAGTGAGACTTCGTTTAAGAGGGGTTATGGTTTCCGGGAATGGTGGTGCGTGCCTGTAACCCAAGCACTTGGGAAGCTGAAGCAGTAGGATCAAGGAGAGAGTTCAAGGCCAGCCTGAACTCTATAACTCTATAGCAAGACCCTGTCTCATACCTTCCCCCCTCCCCCCCAAAAAAAAGAGGGGCCATGGGCCAGCGCCTTACTAACATGGAAGGGACAGGAACTTTATAAACCTTAAAACACCTCCATCTTAAAAAAAAAAAAGAAGAAGTTATTGTACATTCATAGAGGTATGATACAGTACTGTCGTACATCAATAATACTAGAATCAGTTTTGGTTTGAAGTTTACTTTGTCTGCAAATAAGATTGCTACCCCTGTTTTTTTCTGGGCTCCTGTCACATGGAGAATTGTTTTCTATCTTTTCACTTTCAGTCTATGGGCTTCTTTTTGCACTAGGTGTGTTTTGTAAAATATCTTGCACCTGCTTTATGATACATAGTAGGGACCGTGCTTTATCAGAGCTACATTTAATGATATTACTCTAGAATGTTCTCTTTCCAGATGATGATTAAGATGCTAATAAAAAAAATGGTCCCAGGTACCACAACAGCAACAGAACTTTGCTGTTGTCTGGTTATTATTCTTTTCTTTGTTTTTTTGTTTTGTTTTGTTTTGTGTTTAATGGAATGTGCTGAATGTCTATAATTTTGTTCAGATGACTGCAGAACCTGGAAAAGCTGTTGCTGCTATCAATGTATAACATACTATTATTAGTCTTTTTATATAAATATAAATATATATACATATATATATATGAATTGAATTTGGGGAAACTTTAACGGTGCTGCCAACTTTGGAAAAAGTCATCCCAATTTACTGTGTTGAGTTGGCATTGTACAGAAATGGACAGCCATATTGGCCTAGAAA